CGAGGTAAACTTTCTGTCGCATTTCCGATGGCTGTGTAAACATTTCTTTGCTGGTTTTGATTCAGCTACGGGGTACGTACCGCATCAAGGACCAGGAACTGAGCCCACGTAATGATGAAGGTGACTACATCAGGTGCCAATCTCCTCATTTCATTAATCTTTATTTTTTCTTTCGATAATAAATAACTTAATTAAATAAAAAACCAATTTAAAACTTTTAAAACATTTTTAAACTTGATAAAAATCATTTTAGAACATTTTTTATAACTTCAAATTAAATCCATTTTTAAAAATTAATTTTTTTTTAAAGAAAACCTTTCTAAAACTTATCTAAGATATTTTTAATAATTCAATGTTAAGATTTAATGTAAAACAAAAAAACTTAAGGAAAACCATTTTTTTAGAGGCTTAATTCATCATCACTTTTTACCTAAAATTAAAACCAACTTGTAAATTAAACAAAAATAAATTAAAATTTTGTCTAAAAAACATTTTCTAAAACTTCAACTTAAACTTATTTTAAAACTTAAACTTAACCCTTATTTTTACAAATTTAAAATTGAGATTTAAATTTTTTTAACGTTAACACCCTTTTCTTACTTAGTAATTTAAAACCTCTTAAAAACTCAATTTCCAAACTTAAAATTTAACCTTAATTGGGAATTAAATTTATGTAATTAAAAGATTAATTTTTTTATTATAATTTAAAATTTAATGCTAACAAAGTGTAAATTAACTTAACATAATAAATAACGTAACTTAAAAATTAAGCTCCTTTTGTAAATTAAACTCGTTTTTGTAAATTAACCCTAAAACTTCTAAAATAAGGATTAATATTTTAATATCGCAATTAGTCTTAAAACCTTTTCTAAAAAATTGCCTAACATTTCGCTTTTCAGTTTCGAATTGACCTTGCCCGTTCATTCTCATTTAACTGTTAATCTCGTTCCATTCATTATTTCCCAGTTGTACAGTTTGTAACAGCTTTTTTCGTTTCATTTTATGGTTGTAATTTATGCGAGTCTATCGTCGCATTATATTTTGTCATTTATTTTTGCATTTTTTCATGGATGTAGTTTATGCGAGGCCATGATCACGGTTATTTTTATTTTTTGCATTTTGGGGATTTGTAATTTACGCGAGTGATCATCGCGATGCTTTCTTTACCGCTTTCATTATTTTCCGTACTTTATTTATGTCGTATAATAATTTGCCTTTTTGCACGTTCTTACCGTTAATTTCCTCCCTCCGAAGGAATTAGGTCTAGCCGTTTGACTGCCGAGTCAATAACCCTAATTTTTGACTATTCCAAAACCCTAATAGCCTAGGCGTCTTGCCGTGGACAAAAATACCCTTTACCCTAGCTTTAGGTCAAAGAGTCGCCGTACTCTGTTTTAGGGTTTCCCGCCGTGGAATCCCTAATTTCAACCCTAATTTTAATTCAACTTTTCAACATAGAAATAGGAGTTTGAAAACTCTGCGTAAGCATGTCCTTAAGATACGTTTATTCCCCATTGAAACCTTGACCATAGTTAAGACGTTTCTAACCTCCCTTTCGAGGGGAACTACGATTACTCTGATTCCATTCCCTATCCAGGATACGTAGGCACAAGATGCGACGTCTTGCCGAGTAAACTTAGGACTAACCCTTAGGTCTTTAGGTCACTCTATCCCTTAGCTCAATATATATTAAAGCAGATAATAAATAAAAATAAAAAAGCATACAATAAACAAAAGGTTCCTGTAGAGTACTACAGAAGTTTAGGGTGCTAGTACCTTCCCTAAGCTTAACCAACCCCTTACCTAGGTCTCTCCCCGCATTGTGTTTACGATGCAAAAATAGGTTTTCCCTCTTTTGACCTTTTCCTTCGGATAAATCAAAGAGCGGTTGTGAATCAAGAAATGTAATTCAAACTAATTAATAGTTTGATATCCTATTTCCACCGCAACAGACAAAAACACACAATTTTCAGAGGCGTCAGTGCTACATAGGAGGCTATTGTATAATAGTTGAGGAATTTCATTGAAATTATGATTGTTTGGTGTTTTATTTTTGATTGATTTTTGATCTTTGATATTGTCTAACCTGTTGATACCAATTCCGGGTTATAGCTAAAAATTGTGTCTAATCTATTTGATTTTTGGTGGTTAGCTGATGATTTAGTTTTCAATTTACTAACAGGGTTATTATCATTGTTGACCTGAAAGACTCTGGCTGCCTAATACCTGGACATGGTAATTACTCTTTACTACTATATATTTCTGTTAGAGATGCATTATATATTTTCTTTGATTATAAGAAGAAAATTTACGAGTGAATTAAGAGAAATATATGAAGATCCTTCTATTTTGCTCATCTCTAGATTGTTAGTATTCGATTAATCAGTGCCTCTCTTTTTGCTAGTTATCCCTATTTTGTTCTTATAAGAAGAAAATTTACGAGTGAATTAAGAGAAATATATGGTTGTGTTAAAGTTGTATCAGATACTGCATTACAAGTATATTGGTCATTAATTTTATAAGAATTAGGGTCTGTTTAGATTTACTTATATTAATTTTGTAGCAGTGTTGAATTGGTTTGAATTATGGATATGTTTATGATAAGTGAAATAATGATAATTTTGTGTATGATTTATGTTCACTATTCAAGTATAGAAATAATGACTAAGCTTGATTAGGATGGAGTTTAAGTTTTGAATTTGTAAAATTAGTAATGAGAAGATATCATTTTACACTCATGTAAAATTCTTTGTTTAAAAGCTAGTAGTATTTCTTGGTCTGTAGTGTTAACATTCATATACGACATTTATTTAGCATATATTGGTTAGAATGTTAAAGTAGAGAAAGAAACCTTCAGCAAGTTTGACATGTTATTATTACTTTATTACATGTCATTATTACTTTAGAAGATCATCTTGCTCCATTTGAAGCTAAAGTTGCAGAGGTATTCTTGCATTATTGATATAATCAGTTCAATAGTTTTAAGGCACACTACTAGAAATACTCTGTTTTCCTGCAGATTTTGACAAAATTTCCGTAAGAAATGTGTTACCTGCGATTCTTCCTGCTATTTTCTGTTCCCAGCTAAAACCTTCGTGGGTAATTAATAACGCAGGTAAATGATATTTTCGTAGGAAATGTCGCAGCAAACTAAAAATCCGCAGGTAATTTCTCTTTCATGTTTTTAATTTTTGTTGTTAATTTTGTTTAATTTATATTTAAAATATTTAAAATATTGTTAAATATAATAATATAAAAACAAATATCTAATTTGAATAAGACAATGCAACACTAATCACATTCAAATTTTTAAAGCAACCAAACATAACTATAAAGTCAATAACAATACTTCTAGAGTTATATTATTAAAAATGTTTTATTTATATAAAAGTTTAAACCATAGCTTATTTGCAAAATTCAATTAAATAACAATTCTTATATTTCACCCTATTACAAATTTTAGGTGGTCAAAACAAAGTTTACGCTACCATACAATAAAGTTAAAGCTTGCAATTATAGCTACTCTCTTGAAACACACACAAAAGAGATTTGACAAGAAATACAAAACTATTGAAAAATGTAAGTTCTACAAATAGGATACGATCCTTGTTGTTGTAGCCACTTGTCAATGCATTCTAAATGATAAACGTGACTATACTTTGGAAGTATTCTCACCAATTCTCCATCCTCTAAATCCTACAAAATCAAGTTTATGTAAAATATTAAAACTTCTAAAGTCTCTAAATAATATATCAATAATTTGAATGAGTTTTTTTGAAAAATGGAGCAGCATGAATCATTGTATAATTTCATCATTTTGTTGGAGGAGCTGAATTTATAAAATGGAAGTTTGATAATACAAGTTTGTGACATCCCTGTAACTCCCATGGTGTCATAAATATCTGAAACCATTCCTCCATATGTTGCTTCTACTGAATTTATTTTAAAACATTTTAACTCTTTTTTTACCAAATATAAGCCATGACTAATATTGTAATTCAACATTTAGTACTAAAACTTACATAAGCTTGTGCAACAGTTGGACATATCCATTCCATAAACACTTTTCCATTTAATAAACTTGTCAACAAAGCTACCTGCATTTCCAAACAACATTATCTCTAATACCAGACACAATACTAACACTGACACTTTAAACACTATCGGGATATACGCCAGTGTCGTGTGTCAGTGTTAGACACAAAAGTATTGGTGCTATGAGAAATGCTACCTTGGAAAAAGGCTCGCCAACGGAAGCAAAACTCATAAAATGTATGGCGGCAATCGCTCCTGCAATTGCTCATCTGCAAGCTCCATTAAGAAAACCAGTTTTTGTGGTTTGTCCTTTGATAGCTCCTCCTATTGTTCCAATTATTGAACCTCCTAAAGTTCATAATACAATATTTCACTCACTTTTTACAATAACATATACATAATATAAACAAGAGAAGCAAAATGTAACATACCTAGTGCTAGAACAAAAATGAATACAACTAAGAATATTTTGATTGGATATCCCATTACCATCACCATTAAAATCTAACATGTTTAGAATAAAAATCATTAACTAAAACACCCTTTAAGTTTTCAGTTATAAAAGCACATGACTCAAACAAAATATTATGCAGGCAATTTCGTACCAGGAACTCCCTTTACAGAACAGTCAGAGTTTGGATCCTGATATTCAAAACAATTCTGCATTAGGTTTGTTTTCTCCTTCCATGAAGGCACCTCAAGTGATGGCATTATGCCCTATTGGAACATTGATTCATCAGCTTCAAAACCAAACCTTCTAAGCTCATGATAACCATGATGAATGTTGTTGCATGGGCAAGAGTGGGAAGACAAAAAGAATGGATCCCTTCCTTTGTAAAGAGGTCCAAAAGCCTCTTCATCTTTCTCATCATTATCACCATTTTCTTCTTTTTTAGATGTTTTATGTAAAATGTTTTTCTTCTTCTTCTGTGCTTTGAATTCCGGATCAGACCCACTATATCCAATCACCTTCCATGATAGGTTGTTTTCTTCTTCATCTATTTGAAAATTAAAGAGTTTTTGCATAGTGAGTACGCGTTCCAAAGCAATCATAAAGACATACTTTGAAACAAAATATAAACAAAAACAGTTCGTGAAAAGTTGACGCTAAACATTAAAACCAAATACATCAACTTCTCATTCGGAAGAGAATACTAATTTTATTGGATTGTCCTATTATCATTGAAAACTGGCTTTTGAAAAAGTTGTGCCACACTAATTGTATAAATTTACTAACTCAGCCATGGTTTTCCATTCTATTTACCGTGTTTAGTGTTATGAATTTGTTTACAATACAAATTTGTAATGCATTATGCATGTACAAACTAATGTTTGTTCTTTTTAGTACTACCTCTTTGGAAATTGTACGAGAATAACAAATAGGTAGCCAATGTAGGGCCCAAGCATTAATTCGAACCCAAATACCAATCAATTCTCATAATTTTCTGGAATCAAAAAGCGTCACAGTATTATTTTTCAAGAGTGTTGAAAAAACATGTACTGCATTGTAATAATTCAGTAGTATAGAACAGAACAGTATCAACACTTATTAATGATCAAAAAAGGAAAAGAAAGTGTAAGAAACAGTTTAACAAGGAAGTTGAAGTAGAATAATTTACCTGAGTAAAAAAGATGAAGAGAGTGAGAAGCTTTATGGTTCTAAAAAGCATCCTAATGACTCGAACAATCACGAACCCAAAATATCAACCCTGTGCAATTTGTTCGAAGTAAAATGCATGAATGATTTACACTTCACTTTTAGGCATATACAGGTTGCATATATTTAGAAGCTGTAGGGAAATTTCTGGAGAAAATTCATTCAAAAAATCTGAGATAACTACTTTGTGCTTCTTTTTCAATTCCTCTAACTCCTCTCTCTGCATACCTAATATAGTTTCCAGCTTTGATGCTATTTTACCGATGTCTTCTGTTTTATATGTTTCTTCTTGAAAGGACATTTCACCAGCGGCTTCAAAATGGTCTGATGTAAAACTTCTTTCATTGAAAGTGGAATCAGCAGTCCCATCACGTTCCTTCTCCGCACTATTTGCAAACAAGGCGCCAGCCTCAGCAAACACATCCACTTCATGAGAGATATTTGAAGCACTGCACAAACATGGAAAGCTTCCACCGATACCCTTAAGTGAGTCTGACCAGTACTTACAACCTGAAGGTAATATTTCAAAGCAAGGCTGCCAGGAGAATCATTTGCTCTGGGAGAAGCCTCGGGCATAGTTTCAGTGGGATGACTTGAATCCTGATAAGAGCTATTGTTGGGAATTTCACTAGGGTTCCAGCTAAGGATGTGGTATCGAATTTCTGAGTCAATTGTCATTGCAATGGTTGAAACATCTTGATCACTAAGCTCCAACTCCTCAACCATTTCACTGGCAACAGCGACTGAAGTGTCTGCTCCAATATCGAAAGGGAAATGGATATTTCGAATATGGCCAAGAAGCAAATGGACATCAGAACCATGAAAAAGAAAATATATGCTCTCTTTCTTTAGGGGAAAAAAACAAACTCAAGAGAATACCTGAGGAATCAACAATTCGTAGTTTTAAAAATATTGTATTAACATCTCTCCTCTGACCTTCCAGAGTGAATTCCCTATTTGCCTCAACAGAGTTATCCTTGGTACTTTTTGCAATAGGTAGATCATCAAAATTATTTCCTGCATTTTGATACATTAGATGGTAAACAAAAGTAGAATGTTAATTTGGTACTTTGTAATGTAAAGTATATTTACCTGAATGCTGGGTTCTAGATCTCGAAGATCGACCAACACTGTCGCCATCAAAATCTGACTGAAGGAAGGGATCCATCAAGAGAGTCTTTGCAGGAAACCGTTGTGATACATGAGCAATACACTTTTCTATACGGCTCTAACTTCAGGATCATTTACTTTTTCCAATGATGCTGGCTTTATTCCCTATTGGAAATTAAACAAAAACTATAATCATGGCAATGATAGAGAGACAACAGGGACCTATTTGGTTCTAGAAATTTTTTTCATTTTTGTTTCTTTTCACCAATGAGTAATAACTACATAATCACAAATGGTATAAGACAACGAGAATCAATTTGGTTCAAGAAGTGATTTCATCAAGTTGATGCTTAAATTGATGTGCTATTCAAATTCTAAAGGGTTCCAGAAAACCTTAGTCTCTAAAAACTTATATAGCTTTCAGATTGAATCCTCAATTCATCAGCATTGAGATTGGAGTTGAAAATTCTAATTTCACGGTTCTATTACATGTTCTATTAAAGTAAAATTGTCCCAGCATTTTGAAAATAGTGCACTTACAGATGTCACTTTCTTGTAAATTTGAGCAGCATTAGCACATTCAACATACAGGTACTCAACAGTTACCAACTCTAGCAAGCACATGCCAAAAGCATATATGTCAACAAGCTCATTGTACTCCTCTTCATAAAGTTCTGGGGCCATAAACTCTGGGGTACCTGGCTCGGAAGAATTACAGATATTTTCAATAACAATGTTTTCACAGTAGTACACATAAGAAAATGATAACACATGAAATGATTTCAAGGCCTAATGTTACCTATAACACTGTAAGATGAACTGGCTTGTTGAAGAATGGCAGACAACCCTAAATCACCAATTTTCACCTCCCCTTGATTCCCATTGACAAAAATGTTGTCACACTTAAGGTCTCTATGAATAACGGGTGGATTATGACTATGAAGATATGAAAGGCCCTCCAAAATCTGTCTAGACCATTTCTTCAAAGCTCTCAAATCAACATGCTTATGTTTCTTCCGTTATCTACATTAAGAAAGATAAACTTAAAACACAAAAACACACCAAAATCTATAAGGAGGAATGACGCTTGCAACTCATGGCCTAAAAATCACAAATTAAAAAACACATGAAACAAAAAGCACTCACTGGCGCAATGTTCCGGATCCGGATGTGAAAATTTCAGTAACGAAATTAATATTCTCACTCTTGGTGTCAACCCATGAATTATAAAACTTAATAATATTCTTATGCTTCAAAGTATTAAGCAAATGAACTTCAGAATAAAGCCGCTCCAAATCCTTAGAATTCTGCAATAGATCAGACACCTTAACCTAATTCCAAGCCACTTCAATTCCTTCTGATTCATCAAAAGCTCGGTATCTACATTTCGAAATTACTATAAAGGAAAAAGAAAAGTATCATTTCATCCAAATTCCAAACATATCCATATCAAATGTACACAATTATATTCGTCTACTCAAATACATTAACATTTTATCAATTGAGCATAACAATTCATAAACAAAATAAAAAGGATACACTTTCTTGAAAGCCCCCTTCCCTAAAAGTTCCTTGTACTGACCAATCCATCACACAAAAATCAAAATAGGGGCCATTATTAGTTTTGGATAATATCAATCCAGATATAAGCAAGATATTCAGAATAGACAACAAAGCTAATAAAAAATTGACAACGCACCCGGCCATATCGGCTGGTTGGATCAATTTGGGCTATCATTATCCCCGTCTAGTTTGGAGAAATTTGGCGGCATTAGTGGAAACCCTACGTAGGTAGCTAAAATGATCAGGAAGAGGATTGAAACAAAACATAATGGTATTGTGATTGGTAAGAGGATGAATGAGTGTGAAAGGAATGGAATGGATAAGTAGGTAGAATAAGCATGCAAGAAGACGAAGGCAATTAAGCAAAAGTGTGTGACAGATGGGTTGGTGAGATGAAAAAACGATTGCCTTTCTCGTCGCTTTCTTCTTTTGCTATCTTTCTTCAGTGAAGGTGCCACGAGACGCAACAACACTCACGTCACGTGGTGTTTTGTTTTTTTTAGGCCTAGTCAAATACTTTGAAGATGTTGATATGCTTTTGCTTGGATCTAATTTTGTTTGAGGAAAAAAATTGTTGTGAAAATTATTTTAAAATAGGTTTGTTTTTATATTATATATATAAATCTAAAAAATCAATATGTCAATTATATTTTACAATTTTATTTAATAATAATAAAAATATAATTAAATAAGTAAACTTATATTTTTACAATTATATCATAAACTTATATTTTTACAATTATATCATAAACTTACATTTTTTATTTTTTAAATTTTACAACAATAAAAAATTATTAAATAAATAAACTTATATTTTAAAATTATATCATAAACTTATATATTTTTTTATTTTTTTAATTTTTACAACAATAAAAAAGTATTAAATAACTAAATTTTCTTTAAAAAATAACTAAAAAAACTCAATTAATACTATAAAACTTTTTAAAGAAAAACTAAGATTTAATATGAAATTAAAAAATGTCTCAAAAACATATTCTTGGAATCAAGTGTTTTATAATTTTATTTATTAATAGTAAAAACATAATAAAAATTAAAAATAAATTAAACAATTCGCAGCAAAAGTCGCAGAAACATTTACAGCAAATTCCGCAGCAAACTTCGCACCAATTCCTGCAATATTTCCAGAGAATTTTGTGGTTTCAATGGATAACTAATTCCTGCGAAAAGTATCGCAGTTGAGTCCGTAGGAAATTTATATTTTACTTTTAAATCATGAATCGCAGCTAAAGTCTCATGAATTTCTGTGAAATTTGCTGCTACTTTAGTTTTCGTAGGAAATAATGTTTCACAATATAAAGGCGCAGGTGAAATCGCAGGTATAGCTGCGGAAAACTTTTCGCATAAAAATCCGCAGGTAATCTGTGTATTTCTAGTAATGGTAGTTGCAAATTGGTTATGATTAGTAAGTTTATTAGGACAACAACATTTATTTATCTTTATTTATTAATGTAAGTGAATCAATAACTTTGAAAAAATGTGACGTTAATCTTTTTATTTGTAGATGACAACTCAAACATTTGGAGATATGTTGTATTTTCCTCAGACATAAACTATGACAGAATTCCCCTCACCAAAATCACTAAAAGATCGAGTTCTTATATCAATGAAACCACCAATTTAAGGATACTATTGACAGTGAAAAGGAAGTTAGTGAAAAAGGATCGGTGCCACTTGCCCTTAGTGCTGAAGCTGATGACAAAGTGAGCAGAAAGACATGATTATTTTCTTCAAATTTGGTTTATATCTTGTAAGCTCTGTATGTTTATGTTATCTTTTTTATTTGTCCTAATTTGACAGCTTAATGGAAGAGATCTTGATGTGGAAGGCTTGAATCCTCGTGATAAAAAACCAGACCAACAGAGTGCGCTAAAGTACAAAGGTTTGATAATGGCTAGTAAAGTTAAACGCTTGAGCTTGAGTGAGGAGGAACTCAAAAAAGCTTTTGTATCTTATGGATCTGATATTGTTAGGTATTTGTGAAATAGCTTAGCCAAACACATCAATACTTCAAATTCGAGGCATGTCTAGTATCCAATACGTCCAATATGACACATATGCATGTGATTATATATAATAACTTTCCTTTTAAAATTATTATTAGTACCTACATGTCTAGGTGAGTGTCTTATCCTGTGTTTGATGGTAGCATTTTATGGTTTCAGGTTTACACAGAAGAATATTATTAGAGTGTATCTAAAGGGAACGTGTGTCAACTCTGCAGAAGAGTCATGGCATGCTTGATTGGCAGGGATTTAATAAAGTTAGATGATATAATTTGTGAAAAGTTAAGATGCGGAACATAAACTGATTTCAAGAAGC